ATTTATGGTCATGTTACTCAAAGAAATGTTTGCAAAAAATCGCGAATATTTGCTAACTAACGTCATATCATTAGCCTATAGAATGCACGATAGTGCCACAACATATTTTCATGTCTGATCAGGGCGATAACCAACGTAGACATTGAGGGGGGCTAGTCCCCCCAATAATTATAAATCGCTAAACCCTTTTCTCAAATATTGCCAATTCGAGAGAGAGAGAGAGAGAGAGAGAGAGATGAAAGTTGCGTGTATGCGCGTCTGTGCGTTTCTCTTTTTAGAGTGAGTTTACTTCAAAAACAGCGATTTTATCCTCTTGTTGCTGGAAAATATAATGTAGCGATTCAGTATTTAAACTGTTATTAATAAAAGTCGTGGGGCAGCGTTGACAAGTTTCTTTGCTCCTGCATGTGAGAGATCTCTGATATATATATATGTGTGTGTGTGTCAGTAAGCAGCGCATTAATATAGAACGATAATTAAAGGCTCTAATGCACAGCAGCACACCAGTATAGGTGTGTGTATTGTAGGAGCTAGACGACGTATGATGACGTGTGACGGCATAGTAGTGGTGTCTCAATTCTTAGGGGAATATTTTCACCCCTACCCCTTGATACTCTGTTTCAAGGGACAAGGGGAAGGGGTATAAAATAGAATTGGGATTGGGCCTTAATCTGTTAGAATAAAAGTTTGGTTTAACAGAAATATATTACTATTTGTGTAGTAAAATGTACTTCTCAACATAATAATAAAATTCATTGAAACATGTTTTTAGGGAATATTTTAATTAACAATATATTTTGATTTATAAAAATGTTTTGAGCTGATTGCATTTGAAAACGTTGATTAAATTGTTGAAGTTGTAAGAATTAATTTGATTACCACCGTTTTTATTATTAATTAGCAGTAAATGGTAAAACAGTAAAAATTACAGATATCGTAGGACTCTATTATTGTTCAAAATGTTATAAACATAAATAATTTGTTAAAGTTTTATCAGTTGAAATGATTAGACATGCGTTTTGATGAGCATGTGTTCTCATTGCGTTTGCTGTGTTTGTACAGCAGGATGGAGCCACTGGGCTCTGGAGAGGTGCAGAGTGAAGATGATCAGTGTGTTGAGGTGGAGCTAGAGCCTCCTAACTGGCAGACGCTGGTGAGCAGAGACGTCCTGTCCACACTTACCCCTCAGGAAATCAAGAGACAGGAAGTCATCAACGGTGAGTGACGAGTCTGGTTTACTGTATGAGCAGTGGTGGGGAAGTGTCTCCCTAAAGTAATCACAATTTCTTTTCTAATTTTTATTATTTCTCATAAACTTAAATGAAGCTACATGATATGGATGAACAATGAACACCAAATTGTCTTTTGGTTCTTTAATAAAAACTGAAAATGTATTTCCTTATTTATCCCAGGATAAAGTATTCTGTTTACTCCCAACACTGTATATTAGCATGCATTCAGTTTTGAGAAGCTTTGAGAAGCAGTGAACAAGTACAAACCATCCGGTGTAAGCACCTCTCTCCTCCATGCCATTGCTTTCACAGAGTTGTTCTACACAGAGAGAGCACACGTTCGAATGATGAAGGTTCTGGAAAATGTGTTTTACCAGCCGCTGATCAGAGAGGCCATCCTGCCTCCTGCAGACATCAAAAACATCTTCAGCAACCTTGAGGAGATCGTTCAGCTGCACGGTAAAACCCATAACTTCACAACCCCCCTAAATCCTTGAACACCTCTAAAGTAAACATTTCTTCTAAATGCACTCCTCTTCTCTTTTCACTTCAGTGTCTTTAACGGAACAAATTACTGCAGTTCGGAAGAAAAATGAGACTGCGCTCATTGACTCAATAGGAGATGATCTGCTTTCCTGGGTAAGAAGCAGCAAATATACATTAAAGAAAGCTTCCTGCTGGGGAAAAAAAAACAGATCTTATTGGCCTAAGGTAGTCAAGCTGTTTTTTGAACATGGTAGCTGGTTTGTTTCTGTTTCAAATTGGCTTGATCTACCAACTAAACCAAGTTGGACCAGTTAATGACCATAAATAACTAGTTTTAACCAGCTAGAAACCATCTAAAATTAGCTACCATTAGATTTACCAGCAGGGATATTTCACGCTCAATTGTGTCTTTACCCACAGTTCAGTGAGGAAGAGGAGGCAAAGATCAAGAGAGCTGCAGGCACATACTGCAGTAATCAGCCTTTCGCCCTGGAACTCATCAAGAGCAAACAGAAGAAAGACCAGCGCTTCAACTCCTTCATACAGGTCAGTGGCTTAATAGCACAGTGGTTGCTTTCATAATTGTATGTAACTCTACTTGCATTCAAGCGTGTGTGTATGTTTCCTATCTGGCTGTTCCAGATGGTTAAGATAATAAATGTAATATTAACATGGAAGTGTTTGTATTTCAGGAGGCAGAGAGTAACCGTCATTGTCGCAGGCTGCAGTTGAAGGACATTATTCCTGTGGAGACTCAAAGACTCACAAAGTATCCCCTCCTGCTGGAGAACATCGCCAAATACACAGGTACAGCAGTCTCTTCTTTATTCAACATTCAAATTAATGTTTTTTAATCGATTCTGAACATTTTTTAAGAGTTTAGTTTTTTCCACATATTCAGTTTTTGTCTTCCTAATCCTGAATGAACGCGTAATTTTTGCCACTTGGAATGCAGTATAAATTTGATACATGAAACTCACTTATTGACAAACAGCTTCTTTCAAATGCTCAAACACTTTGTGTGTGTCTGTTCTGAAGCGGCAGCTGTGCGTAACTCTGTATAAGCTGTTAAATGCACTTGTGACTTAAAACTGCTTTTATGATGCAAAATTAATATAGACAGTCAGTTATGTCTTAAGGACAGGACATCTGATATGTTAAAATAGATCTGTCAGGATGCATTGATAATCATTTTATCATCACATCGCAGCCCTCCGAATTGTAATCTAATCGAATCGTGAGGTGCTAAGTGATACCCAACCCTTACCTTAAGAAGAAATTACTAATAATATTTTAAATATTAACATATCTGTAAATCTGAACACATCTTTTACCTTTGTATTTTATGCTAGCTTTATTAGCAGAAACATATTATAATTAATATTTTAAATATTACAGTATCGCTGAATCTTACAATTATGCTCTACCATGTTGTCATTTTCAGTAGCAAAATGCATATTTTAAATATTAAAATATCTTCAAATCTGACAGATGTCATTTAAAATGTTGTCTTTGTCAATAGCAAAAATAAATATTATAATTATTTTAAATGTTAAAATATCTGCAAAACTAATGAATGTCCTTGACAATGGTATGCTGTTTATTTTAGCAAAATGCATAATATTCTAATTATTTTAATATTTAAAATAGTATCATTATCTGTAAATCTGACCACTGTCTTTTACAACAATGTACCATTTTTTCATTAGAAAAAAATGCATACTGTCATAATTATATTTTAAGTATCAAAAAATATCTGTTCATCTGACAAATATCCTTTTCATTTGGTCTTCATTTGGTCAAAATGCTACCATGTTGTCGTCATGTTTGTTTCTGAAACTCATCTCTCGAGATTGAACCAGCACAGATGTCTGTTGGTCTGTTTTTGTTTAGACTGTTCACATACGAGCCACTCTGAGGCCTGTCTCACACATCTGTGTAACATCAGCAGCAGGCTCATGTAGTGCTTTCACATTAACCACATTTCTGCTGCAGCTCAATACAGAAAATGAAGACAAAATAACAGCCATGAATCATACAATGGACTTTTGAAGTTAGCCGGTAGTAATTATTAAAAAATAAATAAATCATTGTAAAATCTAAGTTTTGGATGGAGCAGAGCATATCACATGTCAAAATTTCACACACACCATATGAATTGTATGCCTTATTTGATATGAAAATTGCCTTATTTGAATGGAAGTATATGATTGTGGATCTTAAAGTATACATATAATCACAATTAGATCAAACAGTTGTGATTGGGTACAGTAAATATGTGACAGTGTAATGTTAGTGGGGTTAGTCTGTAATCTGTGAATGATTGACTGGTGTGTTTTGCCTGCAGAGGATCCTGAGGAGAGAAGTAAAGTGAAACAGGCTGGCGAATGCTGTCGAAATATTCTCACTCACGTCAACCAGGAGGTGAAGGAGGCTGAGAACAAACAGGTGAGTCAATAACACAGTGGGACCTGACCTCAGATCAGTGCTAATCTAAAACATGCTGACCTGATCCCTGATCCTCTGCTGCCCCCAGAGGTTGGAGGACTACCAGAGACGACTGGATCTGTCCTCACTGAAACAGAGCGAGAACACCATGATCGCCGAGTTTAAGGTGAGACCTCGTATTTGAAATCTATTTAATCAACCTATAAGTGACCACTTATTATAAACAAAATGGATTTTACTCTCCATCTAGAACCTGGACTTGACTAAGAGGAAGATGGTGCATGAGGGGCCGCTGTCCTGGAAGGTCAACAAAGATAAAACTATTGGTGGGTGTGGCTTGTCACAGAATTCGAAATGTCTTGGAGGGCTGACTTCATGGAAAACAGGATTTTTATATCATTATTATATTGATTATTTGCATAAATATCTCTTAAAGGGGTCCTATTATGCTTTTTCACTTTTTCAACTTTAGTTAGTCTGTAATGTTGCTGTTTGAGCATAAAACAAGATCTGCAAAGTTACAAAGTTCAAAGTCCACTTCAAAAGGAGATATTTTATTTAACAAAAATCACTTTTCAAAAACTACAACGAATGACTCGTTTGGACTACAACGCATATTTTCCGGGATTTGGGAATGGGACGAGGAGACCTGGTTGAGCTGCACTAGAGAAGGCAACGAGTGTTATCACTATGTCGGAGACATGCTAGCTTTCCCAAGGCAGACAAACTTTAAATCGCGCTCAAATTGATTTGATTTTGACGCAATATTTACACTGAAGCTCGCAGCAGGCGGCTATGGTAAGGGGCGTGTCATTTCCCGACCAGGTGCCGAGTGCTGCCAATCACAACACACACTGGCCCAGCTAACCAATCACAGCACATTTCGTATTTCAGAAGGCGGGCTTTCATTTTAACGGGCACTATTCGAGCCGTTCATGCCAGACTGGGGAGAGAGGTGTTGTAATAATGTAAAATATGTGAAAAATAATGTGTTTTTCGAACAACCTAGTATGAGAGCCTGTTCTAGTATACCCCAAAACAAATTCAAGACTTTGTAAAAGATCATAATAGGACCCCTTTAAAGATGCATTAGCAAAACAGCCCGTTTAATTCTGAGGGGGGAAATGGTCATGAGAAACTAAATTATGACTGTTTGGTGCAAGAAACCACGACTATAAGTGGACAACAGGGCACAAATTGAATGCTGCAAAAGTGTGTAATATGGCATCTTTAATGCAATATTATTGTGAAATGTTTTCATATGATGTGTGTGTTTTCAGAGCTGTACACATTGCTGCTGGAGGATATATTGGTGCTACTTCAAAGGCAAGATGAGAAGCTAATCTTAAAATGCCACAGTAAGAATCTGGCGGGCACTGCTGAGACCAAACACATCTTCAGCCCCATCATCAAACTCAGCACCGTGATGGTGCGCTCCGTCGCCACCGGTAAGAAGCACTGCTTTTAAAAGCAGGCGAGACAGAATGGGTAAAAATGTATCCAATCATACATTTGTCAAAAACCTCATGATGTAAAAAAGGTGTTTATTTGCTTCTTGATGAAAATAAAGTATATTCAATCAAGAGTCAGTTGAACTAACAGTGTTGTCTGAATGCTTTACAGACAACAGGTCATTCTTTGTTCTCTCTATGTCTGATAATGGAGCCCAGATCTATGAACTAATGGCCCAGACCGTATCTGAGCAAAAGACGTGAGTGCTGCACTTTTTACCCATAGTTCCATTTGATCTGCTTTTAGAGTGTTCTTAAGTATCTGTTATTAAAAGAGAACAAAATTTACCTCAGTGTGTTTAGCCTCTAAAACAGAATTAACAGTGGATGAATGTTTATTTACCAGTTATATTTTAGTTATATATATTATAGTGTTATTTTTTGTTTATTTTTTTTTTTTAAATATTGTAGTATTTATTAATTTTTTTGTATATTCCTATATAGCTTTCATTTGTATTATTATTATTTTTTAATTAATTGTTGTAATTAATTTGAGCATTTTAACGTATTTCAGTTATTGGCCAAGACAACATTTCTAATTTAGGTTTAATTTCATCTAGTAATTTTTTTGTTTGTTTAATTTTAGCTTAATTATTGTACATTTTAGGTTTTAGTTTAAAAAACACTTTACTACTTGCAATGTTTGTTTGATTTTCTACTCAATAGGTGGCAGTGTCTGATAACACAAAGAGCAGACTGCATGAAGACCAAACTACAGAACATCATTCCATTACCTCAGACTGAGTGAGTTTAAGGTTTCTATATCACTAATAATATGTGACCCTGGACCACAAAACCAGTCATAAGGGTAAATTTTTCGAAATTGAGATTTATAAATCATCTGAAAGCTGAATAAATAAGCTTTCCATTGATGTATGGGTTGTTTCTGATAGGACAATATTTGGCCGAGATACAACTATTTCAATATCTGGAATCTGAGGGTGCAAAAAAATAAAAAATATTGAGAAAATCGCCTTTAAAGTTGTCCAAATGAAGTTCTTAGCAATGCATATTACTAATCAAAAAATGTAGTTTTAATATATTTACAGCAGGAAATTTACAAAATATCTTGATGGAACATGATCTTTACTTAATATTCTAATGATTTTTGGCATAAAATAAAAATATACAGTGGGTACGGAAAGTATTCAGACCCCCTTAAATTTTTCACTCTTTGTTATATTGCAGCCATTTGCTAAAATCAGCGACTTAAGACTGGTTTTGTGGTCCAGGGTCACATATGAGAAGTGTTTTATAAGCAGTAAGGTGATGTAAAACATATGTTTTGCAGTGGGGAACATGAAGCGGTCGAGTTGATGAACTCTGGAGTTCAGAAACTAAACAAAGACTCTGAGCCCATTTCTTTAGTGAGCATTCAGTCTCCAGGTAAACTGTTGCTTTCATTTATTTTTTGTGAGAGTAAATATAAAACTGATACCATAATAATAGTCTGGCAATAAGGTAGTTCATTCAAATAGAGTTGTTCAACTGGTATAGCATGGCACTGGAAACACATCCGGTGTCCATCCTCAAAAATATCTTTCAAAAAATGGTATGCCTCAGTTTTGCTGTGTATTTTCTGTAGAAAAAGATGGCACTGAGGTCATGCCAACCCCGCCATGTAGCACCAACCCATTTGAGACCAAATCTGATGAGGAGGAGGATGAAGAAGAAAATTCACTACAGGATCAAGCTGAGGATGAGGAAGCGTTCATAGTGGCCAATATGACCGATCGACTGACATTCCTGAAGCAGCGCTCGAGGCTGGGCATCGCCATAGACGAGGACGAGGCCTTTGAGCTCCAGCCACTCAGAGCCGATGAAGCTCTCAGAACACGTGAGTAGAAGACATGACTGTAGTTCTGCTATGAGCTGTCCCTCTGCTAATACACTGAAAAATTCATTCGGGCAGGGACGTCTACTAAAATCCAACAATCTTGGATTCACTGTAACCCTCTTAGTCTGTCAACTTGTCCGCTCATTTTTTTTTTTTTTAGTGGCAACACTGAGGCAGCTCCTGATCAACCACATGTCCAGTCAGGAGGACACAGACAGAGATAGCGAAAGACGAGAGCAACAGGAAGATGCAGCGAGGACGGGCTCTCAGCAGAGGTCAGAGGACAGCACTGCGATCAGCTCCACTGTTGAGAATGGCTCAGAGAGGGGCGAGAACAGAGGGGAGAACGCACAGGAACTGCCCTCCGGAGACACAGGCTTCTTTGAGACGTCTGAGGATTGTGGTGTGTTGTGGTGTTTTTTTTTTTTTAAGTCATCAGGAAATGGAGGGGACTTCATTTTATGATAATGCCCGGCTGACTGCACATTATCCCACTTAATACTATGTTAAGACTGTTACAAATGAAGGGATTAGTTCACTTCCAGAATAAACTGATTTTAAATAATTTACAAAAATAATTTCCTGATAATTTACTCACCCCCATGTCATCCAAGATGTTCATGTCTTTCTTTCTTAAGTCGCAAAGAAATTCAGATTTTTGAGGAAAACATTCCAGGATTTTTCTCCATATAATGGACTTCAATGAGACCCATCGGGCTGAAGGTCCAAATTGGAGTTTCATTGCAGCTTCAAATGGCTCTACACTAAATAAAAATTGATATACTTTTTAACCACAAATGCTCGTCTTGCACTAGCTCGGCTTCACGCATTACATAGTCATGTTGGAAAGGTCACACGTGACGTAGGCGGAAGCACCGACCCAGTGTTCACAAAGCAAACGTGCAAAGAAAGTCAAATGCCCTTTGCAAAAAAAGGTAAAACAACGATGTCGGACGATTTTGAAGTTGGAGGAGAAAATGAGATGGAGTTTTTCGCCCTAGCCTAACTTTCTGAACCGGAGTACACAGATGAAGAACTAACCGTGTATGACCTTTCCAACGTGATTACATCATGCGTGAATTTGCGGACGAGCATTGCAGTGCTAGTGCAAGACGTGCATTTGTGGTTCAAAAAGTATATACATTTATTTTGTTTTTGTTTTTTTAGAAAATTACCGATCGTTTCGATCGATAAGACCCCTATTCGTCGGCTGGGATCGTGTAGAGTCCTTTGAAACTGCAGTTTGGACCTTCAGCCCGTTGATCTCCATTGAAGTCCATTATATGAAAAAAAAAATACTGGAATGTTTGACTCAAAAACCTTAATTTCTTTGCGACTGAAGACAGAAAGACATGAACATCTTGAATGACATGGGGGTGAGTAAATTAATAGGTAAATGGGCATGAAATATTGATTTGATAAGATGAAAAGAAAGACCACAGAGTAAAACGAGAGACCTGAAAATAGCACAGCTGTGTAGGACATTGGTTGCCTGGGACAACCATCATGTAAGGTGTCAGTAGGTACTTCTTTTGAATTATTAAAGGGGTCCTATTATGCTTTTTCACTTTTTCAACTTTAGTTAGTCTGTAATGTTGCTGTTTGAGCATAAAAAAGATCTGCAAAGTTACAAAGCTCAAAGTCCACTTCAAAAGGAGATATTTTATTTAACAGAAATCACTTTTCAAAAACTACAACAAATGACTCGTTTGGACTACAACGCATATTTTCCGGATTTGTGATTGATATCACAAATATCGACGAATGGGAAGAGACCAGGTATAGAGCTGCACTAGAGAAGGCAACGAGTGTTATCACTATGTCGGAGACGCTAGCTTTCCCAAGTCAGACAAACTTAGAGTGGTTACAATCATCCGGGTTTAAATCGCGCTCAAATTGATTTGATTTGGACGCAATACTTACACTGAAGCTAGCAGGCGGCTATGGTAAGGGGCGTGTCATTTCCCGACCAGGTGCCGAGTGCTGCCAATCACAACACACACTGGCCCACCTAACCAATCACAGCACATTTCATATTTCAGAAGGCGGGCTTTCATTTGATACAGGAACTATTCGAGCCGTTCATGCCAGACTGAGGAGAGAGGTGCTGTAATAATGTAAAATATGTGAAAAATAATGTGTTGTTCGAACAACCTACTATGAGAGCCTATTCTAGTACACCCCCAAAACAAAATCAAGACTTTGTAAAAGAGCATAATAGGATCCCTTTAATTACGTAGTACAAATGTTTGTAGTATGAATGTAATCTGGATATACAACATTTGTCCATTCGAGTCATGTGATTTACCAGCATCAGCTATCGCTTCACTGCCATTCACAAATTCTCTCCGGTGGCCTCATGGGATAGAAAAGTATCCATTGGATGCAAACTTTAGAGTCTCGCCAGTGGTAGTAGGTTATCCGGGTACTTTTTGCCCACTATTGTATGAAGACTGAATTTGGAGATACTTCTCTTTACACATACCATAAAATAAGTGGTACCTGATTGTAAGTCGCACAGGGTCAAAATTGCATTGAGAGAAAAAAACATAGATAAGTTGCATCAGTGTAAGTCACATTTTATTACATTAAGAAGTAAAATGAAGAAACTGCGAAACTGAAACTGGCAGCATGTGGGAAGTGTGCCTTACAAATAATCTAGTGCTCATGTACCACAAATGTGTGCATGTTTTGCATGCTGGACGTTAATTGCATTAAATAAGTTGCTTTGGAATGTCACAATACGTTTCAGATCATTTAAAAAATATATATTCTGGAAAATATGGCCTACTTTTGCCTACTTTATATTAGGGAAGTATGCGTATTTGGATGAAGCCTACTTTTACACTACATTTACACCTCAATCTAGCCGCATCCTATAACCCTTCCTCTTGTTTTCTGTCAGTCTCAGCAGGCAGTTACATGGTTTTGGAGGTGTATGGCGGCTCAGCCGAGAGCAGCACAGATGATGACGTGCAGGGCAGCAGCGGGGAGCCAGTGGCCGGGGGAGACTCAGGCATTGACTTGAAGAAGCTCCTCTCTTCCTCCTCTCAGAGCAGCGGAGGACCAAACCTCAATAGACGGATCATGACACACATACGTCTACTACAGGCCAACCTGCAGCATCTGAAGGTGACGTTTGTCCCTAAAAAAATGGTCACAGATAGACAAATATACAATGACCAAAAAGTATTTGAATGTATATAATGCATTAGTTTTGTTGAATAATATATCATGAATTATGAATTATGTTATATGATTCAGGGCTCGCAAAATTTCAAAATCGCTGGTAGCCCTTCGGGCAGACATTCTTCAGATTTTGGTAGCCCAAAGTGAATTTAAGTAGCCCGAATAAAAAAAAAAAAAGACATCGGCTGAACTTCACTGCGGACAAATCAGCATGATTAAAAACTTCAGTGATTGCTTTTTTTCTTCAAATAACAAGTCAAGAGAGTAGGGGTGCAACGGATTTTAACTTTGTGAATGAGACTCAAATGTCACTCTCTGACAGCAGGTGGCGCTTGTGGAACAGCAGGTGTTTATAGGCTGCTGCCCCTTTAAGACCGAACGCACGGATCCAATTTATTGATGCACTTGAGATTTCTTTCACCACTGTTTACGTTCACTTAAGACATAACCGACTGTGTTTACAAGAATACTTGCCAAGACAGTTATTTTGACATAATTTTGTGTGTATGTGTTCATTCAGATGCAAGGATATGCGAAAGAGGAATAAATTCTGTGTACGCTCATTGTCTGAAACGCGGCTCTCTGTGCGCAGCTCCGAATGCGCGTGAATGGTTTAAAACACTTGAATGTTTAAATCGGCAAGACTTAGAAACACGTGCAAACTATCAACTATGATCCGTTTTACCCCTACAAGCTAGTGAACAACGCAAATCAAGTAAGGAATTTTATATCACTGTTTAAGATAGCCCGTCGGGCAGGGTGGTGCAACATTTTGGTAGCCCGACTGGAAAACACAATAGCCCCAGGACGTCGGGCTAGCGATTTTGCGAGCCCTGTGATTATATTATATTACGTCAAAACTTAATGGCATATGCTACAAATGGTGCTGGACTGTTTCTCAGAAGTAACTTTTCCTATATTAATCTCTCATTGCGCTTGCTGTCTGTTTGGGTATTTGGAATTTATTGTGAAAAGAGCTATAAAAAAAAAAGAAAGAAATATTTTAATATTCTAATAATAGGAACAAAAAAATATTCTGTTGAAAAAAATATATGCTGTAATTACTGTAAATATTGTCCAGAAAATATTTTAATACTTTTGACTGTTAGAAGCCAAATAAAAGCCAATTGTTTATAACTTTTTATATAAAATCATCACATAGTATCATTATATCCCCAATATAAATATATCCCTTGCAAGGGCCCCCTTTCCTAAAATATAAATGAAATTAAATTAAAATTAGAATTAAAAGGTTTAAAAAAAAATTTGATTTAATGCAGGGACATTCATACCTTTTTAAAGTGACTTTAGTGTCCAACTATCTTAAAAACTAAATTGTCTATTTGGTTCAAGTCCTTCATATCTGTTTACACACACACAAAAAAACACTAATACTCAAATCTGTTTTGCAGGATACAGAAATCAAGTATAATCAGCTACGCCAAAGGCTATCAGAGGAAACAGCTACTGACACGGAGGAAAACAAAGGTACTGCAGTTTTAATTCTACCTTTTGTGGTTTGGTGTTGTGTTGCCCTAAAAGAGCTTTCATTCATAGGTCTCTTTCTCTTTTATCCTTCTCTCAGGTAAAAGTTTCATGTCTGTTTACTGAGACTGAAGGAGACACAGAGACACTGGGCTGCTCCAGTCCTGCTCCTCCTCAAACAATGCTCATGCATGGACAGAGACAGACAGAATGGACAGGAGATCTGGAGTTTCTGTTCACGCTCACTGTACAGGACGACCCCAATCACTCACTCCAAATCTCTGTCCATCTGCACCTCAGCATGGTCATGGTACTTTGAGAAAGACTGCCATGTAAGGACGTTTCATCACCTCTCACTCCACCATCTGCATTCAGAAGACGGAAGACACAAAGCAGCAAACCTCCGTCACTATCAAACCCATGCGGTCCTGATCAACCAGGATGGATGGAAAAGAAAACCACAAGATTTGAGGGTAAACTTAAAGAGTGGATCTACAAAACTTCCCCAGGTTGCATGACATTCCTTCATGAGGTTTGATGACTTTAGAGTCAATATTAACCAATGGCAGTGCAGCATGAGTGGTCACATGATCTTTACTAAAGTAGCTCCACAGATCTTTGACCTTATTAGCATAATAATGACGAGCAGCTAGTGCAGACAGATATTCACATAAACCGAATGCCTGACTTCCGTTTCGATACGGCGTGCGGTATATGTGATTTTACGATGTAGAAACCACGTTTGACAACAGTGGTGAGTGGGGTGAAAAACTTCTGATTGAAGTCCTGTACCGCTAGAGCATGTTGTTAGATGTGCGGAGAATATTAGCTATCACATGAGCCTAAAATGAGACGTCTCAAAGAGGAACTGGCAGTGTTTGCTGACTGATGAAGGCAAATACTAGTAAGGTAATGGGCCTGAGGAGGATGGGCTGATGATTGTGGTGGTGTCTCTCCTCATTCCTGCTCTCTTAATAAACCACATTATTCGCTATTTAATGAAGCTACTGAAAGCGTTTTCTCTGGCTTGCGGCCACGGGGAAAAGCGGACCTTTCGTAATGTCGTCGGGTCGAGCTGATGCGACACTTCTCAGGCAGCTCGGCCCGATCCGTCTTTCGGATTTTCTTGGTTTTGAGAATGAAGTTAAATAGAAAGAAGCTTCAATGCAGGAACTTGATGAAGACCCTTAATGGTCCATTTGAAATGTAATGTATTGTACAATTGACAAACACTGCATCTCTTACAGAGACACTTTTTTTTTTCTTCTTTTGCGCTCTAAAGCGTTCAGTCATGTATTATTTTAACAGAAACTACTAAAAAAAGAAGAAAAATAAAAGACTGCAAGGTATCCTTTAATATTAATGTAATCTGTATTTTTATTATCCTGTCTAGACATTTGAGGTATTTTATTATATTATTGAACATTAATATGTTCTTGGCTTTCCGTTGAGAACATGAAATAGCTCTAATAGACGAGATTCTATTAAATTTGACTGAACTGGTGTATTGTTCAAAATGGAAAGAAGATATTGCACCTTATGTCTTCATTTTATCACATTTACCTTTTGAGGAGAGTGGGAAGAATATTTTGTTTTGGATTTATGACCAAAAAGGAAATTACACGACATCTGTAGCAAAATGTATTAAATAAACTGGAAACACAAATGGTGTTCATTTCTTGTACAAATCCTTCATAACGATTGTTTTGGAAATACACAAGCTGAAACAAGAAATGTTCAAAACTGGTGTCAAATTGAAGCATGTTTTTGCCTTTAAATAGTAGTTCTCAATATGAGAAAACCAGTATGTACACCACCTTTCCCATACTGCCAGTATATTTGGGGCATCCATTTCATAACTCTCCATTACTGAGATCTTTTTGCTTCTTTGTTGCTTTCCCATCATCTTCCCTCTTCCTCTTTCCCCTAGTTTTTGCCTCCTCTTCTCTGAACTGATGCCTGAGGGTGAAAAGAGTGTCAGGAAGAACAAGTAGTACTGAATGAACCTGCTAATGTGCAGTAGTTAGAGCTCACCTAGACTGCCAGCGCCTGCCACTATTCCACACACGTCCAAAAGATGGCAGCCAGTTGGCGTCAGTATGTGAGCCGTGGTCAAAGTTTGCACCCACGCGGTTGGGCGGAAGCTTCTTGAGCTTCTCTTGCTCTTCTGTAATTCAAGATTCTTTATTTGTAACATACAGTTATTATATGCAATACAACTTGCAATGAACATCAACCTGGTTGACTACTTAAACTTGCTTTACATACATAAATAGTAAGATCAAAGTGGTAAGATAAACCTAAAAAAAAGATAATAGAAGGAACATGGTCGACAACTGTGGAAGACTGTTTAATGTACAAAGAAGTTTTAATATACAATTATTAAAATATTAAGTTAATACTACTTTTGTTTAAAATAAACAGTTGTCATCTTGGAAATTGTATTTCGTATTATTTTATATAGTATTACATACAATTTAATTACAATTTAAATTTATGGACAAAAATACAATGGAAGTCAATGGGAACTGAAACTGCTCGTTTACCAACTTTCTTTAAAATAACGTGTTCTTCTGAAGAAAGAAAGTCATACAGGTCTGGAACGATGTGAGGGTGAGACTGAGTAAATGATTAAATTTTCTTTTTGGGTGAATTATCCCTTTAAGTTTTTAAAAAGCCAATAACGGAGAGTATCATTATGAGAGTGGAATACACACTGTGTTTGAGGAACTCCTGAAGTGAGGGGCCCATTTCCTGCTGTCCACTGCTTGAGGCTTCATCAGGCTCCTCAAGTAGCCACGGCGGTACAGCTCCTACAATTCAACACAACCTGCTCAGTATCTTCTCAAAGAATAAACGCAAACTAAATCTATTTTACTCACCGGTATGAACATTTCCACTGCTGGTTGAGTCCTGCAAATAGGAGTAGCAAACCTAAATGATCCCTGACCTTGTTTATTAATCTAATAAATAATTGTTGCATATATATATATATATATTAGGGCTGGTGATGTAACGCGTTAATTAGATTGATTAATTACGGTGAAAAATAACGCGTTAAAATTATTAACACATTTAACGCACTTGCCCCGCCCCAGACCTGGCTATGTGGGTCATCTGACATTTCATACAGTTGATTGATGACAAATATGAGGCAGGGCAACAACTCACTGAGTGATGGAGCCTAGAGAACGTAGTTAGAATGTCCCTAAAATTCAAGATATGGGGCAAAAATGCCCGTTTGAGTTTTTGTCTCATATTTACATTATATAGTTAAGCAATAGGCTAAGTGCAATATCACATGAGTGCAAATGTGATACTGATCTTCTACAACAGTTCAGTAAGTAAGAAGTTAATATTGTGTTATTTTAGACAATGTTGTCTGTTTTGCTCAATTTTGCCAACGAAAATATAATGTCAAAGCAGAACTGTTCGTCTCCGAGCAACACACAGCTGCATTTCATTTCTTAAAGGGGTCATATGATGCGATTTCCATCTTTCCTTTCTCTTTGGAGTGTTACAAGCTCTTGGTGCATAAAGAAGATCTGTAAAGTTGCAAAGACTAAAGTCTCAAATCCAAAGAGATATTCTTTATAAAAGTTAAGAGTCAGCCACACCTACCTAAAACG